CACATATATATATATATATATATTACATAAAGTTATATGTAATAGTATAATTTACTGATTATATATAAAAGATAGGACTTTGCTAATTAAGAAATATAAACTTTCAAAAGATCAAAGAGAATCATCCCAGTTTTTGTTGATCTTTTCTACAAACGAAACAATCTGAAAATTTACAAGTTTCAGAAGTGAATGATAACTGCTAAAAATAAAAGGCAAAATTCAATAAAACAATAACTGCTAGATACAATTATAAAACTATAACACCATCTTAAGAGTTTTAATATATAAATAACACAGCCTATTAACTCAGAAAACAAATAAGAGGCTATAAGCCAGTAATGGCGAACCTTTTGAGCTCGGCGTGTCAGCATTTTGAAAAACCCTAACTTAACTCTAGTGCCGTGTCACATATAGAAATTTTTTTATATTTGCAACCATAGTAAAACAAAGAGTTATATTTTTGATATTTATTTTATATATTCAAATGCCATTTAACAAAGAAAAATCAACCAAAAAAATTAGTTTGCGTGTCACCTCTGACACGCGTGTCATAGGTTGGCCATCACTGCTATAAGAAAAGTATAACTATAAAGAATAATCCAACTATAGTAGTTTCAAAATAGTAATGGTTTAACATAATGACCCTGGTATTCTTAATGAACATTATGGCAAAAAATAATAATTTAAAATAATGCGAAGATCTACTAAAACAATTATAGTGGTTAGAGTATTTCCTACTGTAACACCAACCTGTTCCAATTCTTGTATTTTAGCATCCTTGACTTGCAGAATTTCTAAAACTTTTCTGTCTTTAGCTTCAGAGTTCTTTTTTTCTCTAGAAATAAAAATATATATATATACACATTGAGAGTTTATTAGTCATAACTGGTAGCTGATCCTTTAGAATTTCACATCCTGATTAATGAGTGTCACTTTGAAATACAAAAAATTAAGGTATCTGGGGTTGACAGCCCAGTCAGAAACCATATGGCAAGTGACAACAACTTAGAACTGCTCACAACTAAAACAACTTCATATTAAATAATTTAGTAACAGATTTAGATACATGATAAGAATATTTGAAACATGTGTAATCTTTATTGAATTACCCATTGTATTATAAAGTTAAAATAATAAATAAATATATCTTAACAAACATTTTATATAGAGAATTATATTAAGAATAAAATATTGGACATTTCAAAGATAGTGGCAGAGTAGGTGGATCTTTCTTGCACTTCCTTCCAGAAGCAAACTGGAAATAAAACTAAAGTGGGGACCATTCACCCTGAATTACCAACTGAAGATTAGCTGAAGAGGAGACTTTTAACAAGGAAGGGCACAGACCACCTCAAGATAGGTAGGAGGAATTAAGTCCTGAGAAGGGCAGGGCCAGCTCCCACAGGAGGCAAGCAGCAGCCCATAGCACCAGAGAACAGCAGCCCATATAACATCCAGCTGTGCAAGGCAGTGGAGCTTCTATCTATCAGGAAGAGTCAGTGTTGTTTGTTTGTTTAAACAAAACACCAAAGCACAGGGTTTTCGTTTGCAGGCACTTACCCAAGGCTTCTGTGGAGGGAAAGAGGTACAGACTGAAACCCCCCGTGGAGAGTCTGAAGTGGATGGCATTGGGGGAGAGGTGGAAGAGCAGATCAGTATGCCTGAGCTTGGTCACCATCCCCACACATACCGCAGCAGGTGAGTTTTACCAAACATTCAAAGAAGAACTAACACCTATCCTCAAACTAATCCAAAAATTCAAGAGGAAGGAAGACTTCCAAGCTCTTTTTGCAAGGCCAGCATTATTCTAATTTCAAAGCCAGATAAAGACACTACAAAGAAAGAATATTACAAGCCAATATCTCTGATGAACAAAGATGCTAAAATGCTCAACAAAATATCAGCAAATCTATACATTAAAAAGGTCATATATCCTAGACCAAGAGAAACACAGGGAAAAATAAACAATTGGAACTACACCAAACTAAAAAGCTTCTGCACAGCAAAAGAAACCACCAGCACAATGTAAAGAGAACCCACTGTATGGGAGAATATATTTGCCAATAATACATCTGATAAAGGGGTTAGTTTTCAAAATATATAAGAACTCATATAGCTCAACACTATGAAGACAATCCAATTTAAAAACTAGGCAAAGGACTCGAATAGACACCTCTCCAAAGTGGATATACAAATGGCCAATAGACATTTTTTAAAAAATATATGTTTAATGTCATTAGTCATCAGAGAGATGCAAATTAAAACAACAATGAGGTTGCCCTAGCTGGTTTAGCTCAGTGATAGAGTGTCTGCCTGCGGACTGAAAGGTCCCAGGTTCAACTCAAGTCAAGGGCACATGCCAGGGTTGTGAGCTCAATCCCCAGTAAGGGGCGCGCAGGAGGCAGCTGATCAATGATTCTCATCACTGATGTTTCTATCTCTCTCTCCCTCTCCCTTCTGCTCTGAAATCAATAAATATATATTTAAAAAAAACAAAACAAATATCTCTTTTTAAAAAAACAACAATACCAACAACAATGAGGTATCATCTCACACCAGAATGGCTACTATCAACAAATCAACAAATGACAAGTGCTGGTGATGATGTAGAGAAAAGGGAACCCTAGGTCACTGCTGTTGGGAATGCAAGCTGGTGCAATCACTGTGGAAAACAATTTGGAGTTTCCTCAAAAAATTAAAAATGGAACTGCCATTTGACCCAGCAATCCCACTTCTGGGAATATATCCTAAGAATCCTAAAAGACCAATCAGAAAGAATAATCCCTATGTTCATAGAAGAATTATTTACAACTAGAGGCCTGGTGCACGAATTCATGCATCAGTGAGATCCATCGGCCTGGCCTTCAGGATAGGGCCAAAACCGGCTCTCCTACATCCCCCGAGGGGTCCCAGATTGCGAGAGGGTGCAGGCCAGGCCAAGGGACCCCACTGGTGCACAATTGGAGCCGGGGAAAGACATGAGAGGTTGGCCAAACTGGGAGGGGTTGCAGGAGGGCTCCAGGGCATGTCTGCCCCGTCTTGCTCAGTCCCAATTGGCAGGACTCCAGCAGCAAGCTAACCTACTGGTCAGAACGTCTGCCCCCTGGTGGTCAGTGTACATCATAATGAGCGGCTGAGTGGCCTTAGCATATCATTAGCATATTACGCTTTGATTGGTTGAGTAGACGAATAGACAACCAGATACTTAGCATATTACACTTTTATTATATAGGATAACTAAGATCTGGAAATAGCTCAAGGGCCCATCAGAAGATAAGTGGATAAAAAAGCTGTGTTATATTTACACAATGGAATATTATGGAGCTATAAAAAAAAGGATTTCTTAACCCTCCTTCCCCTCTCTCTTACAAATCAATGAATTTAAAAAAAAATTAAGGAGAAACAGCCACATCTCTGAAGATCACAAACTAAACAGAAATATAATGCTATGGATGTGGATGATGCAGTCTAAGGTGGAAAAGAGCTTGGCTCCTGGGAATAGTAGGAAATACTTGTCCTGCTCAATATGTAAAATCATAGCGAGGCTCATTGTTTGAAACCAGAGAGTGGGGTGGGGCTCCAAACTCCTAAAAGAGGGCCGAAAAAATGTCCACTCATCCTTGCCTGACTCTAAATCTTATGTATATGAAAGTCTAAAATGGCAGAAGTTTACAGATGTAGCATCCTAATCAAGAGCTAAGCCAAAACACCCTTGGCTCAGGCACTAATTAGAGCAAATCCTCTCACTGTTGGCTAAGAGCCACAAACTACCAATAGAAATCCTGTTTCAGGATGGAAGAATGAGGTGAGGGTAACAATTTAGTGGCAAGCATAAATTTTCTAGAGAGCAAAAGGCATTAGACAAGAAGGAGTAGTAAAAGAGGAGGAAGAGAACAATAAGAGCAAAAAATCCAAAATACATGAAGAAAACACACTCTCTACACGCGCACACACACACACACACAACACAAGCAAACAGTGACTCAATAATCTGAAAAAAAATCAATCTCTAGACAAAATGAAAATAACAAAACACATTGACTTTGAAATAAGTAAGGATCTTTAAAGATATAAAAGAGTGACTAAAATTAAAACAAAAAACCATAAGTAAAACAGTAAGTGGATCTAAAAAATCTTGAAAACATATAAAGCACTAAATAAATAAAAACAATTAAATGGGCTGAGCTCAAAACTAGATACAAAAAGGCATTTAGTGAAATGGAGACTATTAATGAGGAATTCACCCAGAACAATGAATATAAAAAAAAATTTTAAGTCATGCGGGTTTCACTAGGAAACTCCAACATATATCTAAAGAGTTTCAAAAATAGGTAACAGTAGGATAAAATATAAAGCAAAATAAAGCAAGAGGCTGCCTTCATGAAATAAACATTTTAATTCATACCTATTGAAACAAGTGATAAATAAGTGAACATAAAGTATGCCAACTGGCTATCCTATAAAATAAAAGCCTAATATGTAAATCGACTGAATGGCAGAACAACCAGTGGAATGACCGGTCGCTATGACACACACTGACCACCAGGGGGCAGATGCTCAACACAGGCGCAGACCCCAGCCCGCAGGCCCCAGGCCAGCCAAAGCAGGTGCTAACAGGGGCTCCCCTGATCGCCACGCCGGTCACCCAGTAGAGGGAGGCAAAGGGCAGCGGTGGCGGCAGGGTGATGGGGGGGGGGGGGGGGACAGGTGGCTCTACCCCCCAATTGCCCCGCCGCTCACCTCCTGGAAAGTAAGGCAACCAGCAGTGGCGGGGGACAGGGCTGGCAAGCGAGCAGCGTCAGGACGGCCAAGGCCAGTGCCAGCAGGGGGCCCCCGATTGCCCCACTGGTTGCTCCACAGATCGACCCTGATCACAGGCCAGGCCTAGGGACCCTACCCATGTATGAATTTTGTGCGCTGAGCCACTAGTAAATATAAGAACAATAAACTAGGGTAACGAAGAAAGGTATGTCTAGTCTTTTTTTCTTATTAAAGGGAAACACCTATTTGATACATAAAAGTTTTAACAGGATTTAAAATTTTTTAAATCAGAAAGTGTATAAAACTTAACTCTTTCAAATATTCAAACAAAAAGACATGTACAGTCCATCCGATCCAGTATGTCCTTTAGAGTCTCTGTTTCCTTGTTAATTTTTTGTCTGGAAGATCTGTCCAGTGAAGTCAGAGGAGTGTTAAAGTCCCCTATTATTACTATTGTTGTCAATCTCTCTGTTAAAAGTCCTCCAGACATGTGTGTCTGTGTGTGTGTGTGTATGTGTATATAAAGGTGCACCTATATTGGGTGAATATACACTGAGTGGCCATATTGTTATGACCACCTGACGTTTGTAGGCAAATTAGCTATAATTTTGCGCTGAAGTTGCTAGAGGGCCAGACCATTATAAATAGGGAAGCAGGTTGTTTACCACGACAGTAGAAGTGATTTTTTTCTGAAGATACGGGTAAACAACGCGATTTAACAGCCTTTGAACGTGGGATGATTGTTGGCGCTCAGAGCCATGGAGCCGAGTATCAGCAAAACAGCCGAAGGAAGGCCTGTTCGAACACCTTTGCTGTCTGCAGTTACCAAGATAAAACGTCTCCAATTCGCACAGGAACACAAGGATTGGACAGTCGAGCATTGGAAAAAAGTCATGTGGTCCGATGAATCACATTTCCAGTTGCATCATGCAGATG